ATGGGAAGATCTCTGTAGAAACACTTTTCTCTCAGTGATGCAAATTGTTTTATCCACTTGATTTTTCACTTTTTTTTAGTCTTTCAAAGCTGTTAGAGATTGTTATTCATATTTTCCCTTAAGAAAACAAAGGACCACACTGCCACAGTTCTTTCAAGATTTATATCCAACTTTTACCTTTACCAAACCCAGCAGGAGGTTGAGATACAAGATCAAAATCTTTGGCATTCTGTTTGCTTCATTGCTTAGTTACAACTTTTGTTTTTTTTTGGACAGTAGAAACAGCAGCTCAGTTGGTGATAAATTCTCTTACAGAACTTGTGTGAGAAATCTCGCTGGCTTCAGTGAGAGCTGGACAGAACCCTGACAGCCAATCCAGGAGCAATGCCTACACTGCATAGAATAGTACGTAACCAGTCACGTTGGCATGAGGCTTGTGAAGTCCCTGTGCAAGTGGCTGTGTTTAGTTCTCAAATATTGCCTGCTGATCAAAGTACTTTTTCAGACTGATTGCACTGTTTTAAGTACTTGCTCTGGTAAGGAGTTTGCTCTAGACTTTGAGGTTTGAATGTCTAGCTAGAACACTTGATGTTTGTGAACATAACTAGTAGTCAAGGTTTTACTTTTCTATTCTGCTAAATGTATTGTCCTGTATTTGCTGGTTTAATTTTTCTTGTTCAAAATGATACTGCCTTCCAAAGAAGAAACACTTTTGGAGAGAGTTGTTAACAGGGATGTGGAGTGATGGAAGTGCTTTCATGTACTTGCTTTTCAAAAGGAGCTGAGGATCTGCTCCATTAATTGTGGTTAATGGAAGGAAGCCATTGAACAGGGAGGGGGGGGAATAATTAGCTAACTGGTACAAACACTGTGAGAACACCTACCCACAGGATGGCTGTTCTTACTACAGCTCAGGTTTGGAACAGAGTAGGTACAGAGTCTTCCAGCTTCAGATTCTTCTGTGTCTCTCAATATTTGACTGAAAAATATCTCTGCTACATAAAATTAAACACTTCAGAGTCATTTACATAACTTTTGCCTTTGTGGTGCATTGCATTATCTGAGACTAATTTAAAACAGACCTTTATGAAGTCATCTTTCAGAAAAACTAACTTAAAATGGAAATCAGGAGGCAGTATTTAAAAAAAAAAAAAAGCCATCTAGAGTTGACTTCTGGAGAAATGTCCCCACACTGGGAGTGCTCTGAAGCTTTAGCGGGCACAGTACCCTTCACCCATATCCTGACTCCCTTCAGCTGCTGGAGTAAAACGAAAAATGTCAGATTCGTTCTCACTATCCTTACAAGGAAACCTTGATTCTCATAGTTATCTAATTTTTTTCTTTTAACCTTAGTGATCTGCTGGAATAATATTTCAAGTCGTTTAAATTTCCAGTAAGTATTACTCAATAATATACATGGATGATGTTTAGCAAGCGGACAATGTGCAGACCTGTCACTTTAATGAAGTATTCTCCAATTTTTGTTAACAGTAATAAACAAGAACATGCAGTAGAGAGCCTGAGAGGGTGCTTTAGCAATGGGGAAAGGCATGGTGAAAGCTGTCATTGTCACTATCTCCTGCTGCACTGGAGAAAATGCTGGAGGGAGGTGGCTGTTTGGGAACACCCATCACTTCTCTTGCCAACTGGCTCCAGGGGAAACTTTTCTGTGCTTCCCCTGCCTCTGCCCCCTGTAATGTGTGGCATCAGTCTGGGGACTGAAAATGAAATGCTGTGACGGGTCGCATGTATAACATCCTTTGTGCAACAGACATGGAATAGGAAAATGTTTTAAGGCCTAAGGAGTCTGATGAAGGGAAGTCATCCATGAGGAAAAAAAAATCTGGCAGAACACTGTAGTTATCTATCAGCTCAGAGCTGCTGTTTGCTTCTGTTGAGCCAAGAACACACAGGATGCAGCGTTATGCTCAGGTCTACGTGGGTGCCTCACCAAGAGAGCTTAATGTGCCTTGAGCTCCTGTGTCTCATTTCCTTTTCATGAGAGTAACTTAGCTGGTGTTTTGTACATTGTAACAGTCGTAGCTTTATAAGAATTGGAAATGGGCATATGAGATCAGATTTATTATTTTGTCCCTAACATTTTTGCTTTTTTTATGGCCTTGTTAAAAACTTGAAAGGAGAAATAGAGAAAATTCACAGTAGTGAGGATAGTGTTTAGCAGAATAATAAGGTATAGAATGCACACTTCATTAAGGAAATAGCTTTGCAGATTTTTTCCTTCTGCACAAGAATTTACAGCTTTTGTAGTAGTTTAGCTAAAATTATCTTGTGCTGCATTTTCCTATCGTGAATTTAAATGATCCAAAAAGTGAACTTGTTTGGCTTATTGCTGCATTTTTACAATTATTTCAACCTCTGCCTGCACTGCACCTGCCTTGCAGCGACATCTGCTGGGAGAAGCAGGAAGCCTTTATTGTAATTACAGCGCTTTGGAATGAAAGTTAATTGCACTCCACATTTGAGGTTATCTTTTTGTCTTATCGACATTGCATACGGATGTAGCTGTATTAAGGAATAATTGCTAAATACTCATAATGCTAAACTTGTGCTTTAAGTATTCTAAGTGTCACACTGATGGATGTTCCAAATAAGTACTTATCCTTTCCTTCTGGTTTTACGTTTGGTATGTAAACACTGGAAAAAATCAAAGTGGGGAAAATATAGATGAGAAATCACCTTTTATTTCTGTAGAGTTGAAGAGGTGATGGAAATATAATTGGATAAGAAACCTCGAGGTCCATGCCTAGCTTTACAATGTAATATGTTGGTTGGAAATCTGAACAAATTGCAGTGCTCACCTGGAATATGTTAAGTGATACTTAAAGATCACTATTGTATAAGCAGTTCCTGATTAGTTCCTTTTACAAACATATTTTGTTTTGTTTTTCTTTTTGCATGATTATCACTTATTTTCTGACATTTGTTTTATTTTGGTTTCTTGAGCCAGAATTAAATGCAGCACACCTGGATCTTCGCTTACTGTGGCTTATCCTATCTTATTTCCCCTAAATCTTGTATTTTATTTCCTTTTGCCTTAATTTTTTTTCTGCCTTAATATGTCAGTGCTTCGTATTTAGGGCAAAGGAATCTTTTCTACACTGAGAACTCTTACCATACTAAGAACTTGATTCCTGTACTGCAATTGAGTTTTATCTTTTTTCCCTTGATTTGGAATTCTTTTTGAATCACTTTTCTTATCTTGCCTCTTTTTTTTCTTTTATCCTTTATTTTGTGATCATGTACTTTTCTGCTTTGTATTCTCTTCTCAGTCTCCTGTTTTATCACTTTGTGCACATTTTAGATGAAAACACCAAGAAATTGTGTGAGTATTTACTGACTTTATGTAATGGAACTTTATTGCATATTTTATAATTGGAGTCATGCCTCCTTTCAGTTGATCCCACTAGAATCCTTCCTATCTTGTTTTGCTGCTGTTGTGCCTCTAGCCCTAGTATTAGTGATTATTGCAAAGATGCCACGGACAGCTCTTATTTTAAATAATTTACAGAGCTTTTAGAAATCAGGTAATAGATCTCAGACTGTTACTGTACAATATGGGCACTTAAACTGCAGGACTTCTGTGTGCTGAGAAGGGGAACTTTCGGGAGTTGCTTAGCAGCTTCTCAAAGGAGGTAATGGATGTCACTAAGAATTAAAAACAGCTGATAAAGAATGACAGTAATGTGTAATAACAGATGTTAGTGCTCACCTAAAGAGGACTAGTAAATAAGATGTTAGATGCCAATATATGCTGTAATTATTTATCTATTTTAAGCAGGAGATGAAAATGAGGAGGATTAGAGGCCTTAAATATGTTGTTAGATTCATAGTCAGCAAAGTTCCTTTTGTTAGGTAACTTCAAGTGTCAAAACAAAACAGTTCATCGTAAAGTGGTACTTAAGAGGGCTTAAGCATGAACTCCCACTTTTGTGTGGCTGCCTTTTAGTGAGATGATGTATCTGAAGACAATTCGCAGGAGTCTTCAATGTGCGTTAGTGAATTAATTTGAAACTGCTTTTTAGATGACCCAACTGCTGAAGCAGACTTAAATTTGGCCAGTTGGTTACTTGATAGTATCTGTTGTATAGCCAATGCAGATGGACTGTATGATGCTCAGTAAGTTTTTTCCTATTCTCTCTGATGTGTTGCCCTTAATCTTTCATCACTTGTACACCACATGCCCCAAAGCATCCATCAGTGCAGTTAGTCATAACCAAATAAGTGAGATAAAAATTCCTTATTTTTGGTATCTTCAGCTTTTCTCTAATTTTTTTTAAATTACCAGATGCTAACAGTTCTTCAAGTCTTCTCTCAAAATCTTTGCAAAGCACACCATGTTAAAATCATGCTGCTCTTAGTGACACATGTAAGTCACACAGAGCAGTAATGAAAAGCAGTCCAGTCTGTTCTGAATTTTGGATTCTGTCACAATTACACTTATGTACTTTCTATCATAAAACTGAAATTTGAATAAGATCCTTACTGAGAAGGAAATTACAGACAACCTCCATGGACGTATTCATCTTTTTCCCTGAGTGTTCCTCTATTCTAATGGGTTTGACAACACTGGCAACACATTCACTTTTTCATTAATGACAGCTTGTTATTAAATAGTTTGGAAATTTAAAAGTACGGAGCTTAGATCCACTGTCCTTTTATAGTAAACCATGTGAGTAACTGTCAATCTTCAAAGCAGTTCTGTTTGAATATGTCTGTATGAATACATATAATATAAATGAATTTGACCATGTATTTAAGACAATGATTTGTTTCCTTCATAACTGCAGTCATTCTTTCACAAAGCACAAAGAATGGTACTATCTCATTTTATTTCTGTTGTCTTGGACAGCCAGATTATTCCATTGTTCAAACATAAAGATAAGAGCTGCTTTTCTGCTATATTTTAGATGCACAAATTCAGTAAGATTACACAAAGTCTGAGTTGTGCCATGCATTTCAGTTTTCCTTTTCTGTTCTAGTTCTGACTGAATTAACACCTGATGCCAGGGTGATTCTCCTCAGCTCTTCCTTACAAACACAGAAGTACAGCATTAAGGACCCAATGAATCTCCAGTCAGTCTTTACTTTGTAAGATCTTGTGCTCCTGGAATGAGGTACCTTTCCAGTTGTGAACAGTCCAAGTATATTTCTTCTTGTCTTAATTCTGCATTCAACACAGTTGCTATGTAAGCATAGCACAGAGGCTAGAACTCTAATTTCATTTGTTTCAAATCTTGTAAAATGTACTGTTATTTTTATTATTGTTCTGAGAACTGTTGGAAACTGCAGGAGAAATTAGTTGTTGTACAATGAGAAATGTGCACGTAATAGGGATGCTGCCAGTGGGCTTAATACACAGCAAAGGTGATATGATGTAGAGATCTGAAACTTTCTGGACAGTCGTTGCACAGATGAACTGTCTGCTACTATTGTGAAGGTGAGACTTCTTCCCTAACCAATCAGTTATCTGCAGCACTGTACTTCTGCTGTTGAATTAGTTACTATGTTTTTTTCTGAACAACTGTTGAATTTACGCTTGTTCCCAACTCTGCAATTTTATCTATCAGGACAAGAAAGCTCAGTTTTTGAGATAATTCTGGTTGTTCACTTGAGGGACTTCTTTGCTGAGGATGTCCCTAGTGAGAGCTGCAGGCCACCAACTTCTTTAGATTTTTCCTGAATGGCACCCAGTACTTGTATTCAATAATTGTAGTGATGACTTGCACTTAATTTTTTATTCTTTTTAGAATTACATCTTTTTTTATCACCACAACATAAAAAGTTATCTCTAAGTATGACATTTCATTCTAAAAGACTTTTTCCAAAGGATGAGTAGATTGGCAGCTTTGGAAACACTTCTGTAATCATCTCTCAGAGCTTTTCTAACATGCTATTTTAGGTTTACTTTGTCTTAAAACAAATATTCAGAATATGTAGCTAGAACTTCTGTCTATGATATTATTCCCAAAAAAGGAAATCTGAAGTAATGTCCTGCTCATGGTCTGTCTGCAAAATCTTGTAAAGCACATATTAGAGAAATGAGGGAAGGTGAGAGGATTCAATCTGGAATGGATTACTGAACTGGCAAAGCCTGGCTTGCATTTTGAAATACTATATTCCACTGTGATTTTGTAATTTGTCTTGGTCATTTTTGTGTCATGGAAAAAGAAATCTATTTGCAGGTTTTTCAGCTCTTAGTGTGCACTGAGTAGATTCTCTTACTAATACCAGATGGCAATATTTTCCTGAGTTGTCTGGTTTTGTACTGAAAGACCCTAATTTTTCAGTATTTGTGGCTTCCAAATACTAAAGTAAATGTTAAATGTTAATGCTTGCTCTTGTATTACCAGGTCCTGAATGCCTTGCAATGCCAGTCCTGTTTTGATTGTCATTTTAATAGTAAGGATGATGATTTGACACTTCTCACATAGATTAAGAATTTACTGCCATAATTTTCTGACTTTAGGGAAGATCATCTTTTGGGAAAAGACAGGCACTGTATGTATCTACTTAAAATGCAGAGTGAAGTATAAGGGGCAGATTTCCAGCCGAGAATCTGCTCGTAGGGGTCTTAATGATAGACAGACAACTTCTGAGTTTTTGGAGTTCTATTTGATCCAAATTCTTAGCTCATGAGACATGAACACTTTTCATTTTCACATTAACTGTTATGCTTTCATTCATGGGCTGGAACTTCCCGGCAGCTTTAGACTGTCTGATCATGCCATAAGAGGAATGAAAAGAACTTTATCATGGACAGAGCACATCACTAGCGTTGTCTCCTACTGCTTCTTCTGGAGGAGAGGACCTACTTTAATGGTTTGTAGGAGCCTGATGGGCTCTAGATATCTTTGAGGAGTTAATAATGAAATAGAGGAAGTGGAATCTGTCTTGGAAACTTAGGTGACTGTTGTTCTTAGGAAAGTTGTCCTGTAAACTTGGATCCTGTTCTCTTGCTGCATGAGTTTTGTTCAAAGGCAAAGGAGGAATTATATTCATAATATGAATGAGAATAGATCCATTTAAAGTACACAAAGCCTCCTTTCTTTACCATAAATGGAGTAAAAAGTCATTTTGCATCCTAATAATTTCCTGACTGTTTAGGTGCAGGGGCCTTTTCATTTTGTGAGCACTTGTGAAACTTTATTTAGGTTACTGCTACTTTCTGGTAGAATCTCAGAAAGATCACTGCTGAACAGATGAATGATTTCAGAAGTGTTCTGCCATGTATATTTAGTATATATCTAGCTAGTTAAAAGCTATAAATATTGGAACTTACCATGTGTTTCTTACAGAAGTTAAAATTTTGAGTGTTATCTACCAGTACTGTAGACAACAGAAGTTCTTATGGTCAGTTTTGATTCCATTCCATTTAGAAATGGAGCAAGATTACAGTTCAGAATCTCTTGGATGTAGTTACTGCCCCTCAGCATTACAGTATTTTAACTGTAAAACAGTCAAAGTATTATATGGCTCCAAAGGTTAACAATTTTCACAGTAAAAGGAATATATATTTTTGAGTTTAGCGAACAAGTTTTCAGTGGACACAGGTTCCACTGTGCTTAGGCTGACTTTTAAAGACTTGTTTAGACTTCCTGTGTCCATGACTGCATGCTTGGTTAAAAGTAATGCCAGATATAAGTATGGACAGAGATGAGAGGCTGGGATGCAGTGCTGGGCAGGTGGATCTAGGGATCCTGGCTGACAGGCTGTGTGAGCCAGCAGTGTGCTGTGGCAGCTGAGATGGCAAACCAACTTCTGTGGTGCATTAACTGCAGGGTACACAGCCAGCTGGAAGAGGTGATTGTCATGCTGTGCTTAGTGTTGGCACACCCTCATCTTGAATACTGTGTGCAGTCTGGGCTCTAGGATTTCAAAAAGGGGTTGAGATAGTTGAGTGCATCCAGTGGAGGGCAACAAAGCTGCGAGAAGAGGCTGAGTTCCGTGTGTTTGTATGCTTGGAGAAAGGTGATCTCTACCTCCATCTTAGGAAGGGAAGAGAAGGGGGAGTGCCCACATCTTTTCTGTGGCAGGATGTGGGGGAAGAGCTACAAGTTGTGTTGAGGCTGTTTGGACTAGATGTGAGGAAAAACCTCTTTACTGTGAGAACAGTGGGAAACTGGAACAGGCTTTCGGAGAGGACGTTGATGCCCTGTGCCTGTCCATGTTTAAGAGACATTTTTTTAACACTCTTAATGACATGTTTTTACTTTGGGCTAAGCCTCAAAGTGGTCAGACAGTTGGATTTAATCTTTGTAGGTTCTTGCCAACTGGAACTATTGTGTGTGTGTGTGTGTGTGTGTGTGTGTGTATTTCTTGATGATTTAGGGGTACATGGTTTAAGAACACATACTGAAAACCAGTTTACTTAGAATTTTTACTGCCAGGAGAAGCAAATAAGCTTTTGAAGTGTTGAAAAAATCATGCCAACCCATGAGAGGAGAAGCTCTAAATACTTTGTGGAGTAGTGTAGGTACACAGCACAGTGCTACAGACAGGCTAACTGGCCTGTGCTGATTATTTTAATTTAATTTTACTGCTTCTAAATATGGGTCAGCACATTAGCAGCCAATTATGGTATCTCTACTTGGCACTGTTGTGTTGTCTCTTACCAAAAGTAATGGATGATTTATACTGAGCTATGAGTGTCTTATTCAAGAGCCTGTTAATTTCCTGTGTGGAAAAACTCAAAGTATTTGGTATTTCACATGCATAAATACTCATTTTCTGTTTACTTCATTCTGTGTCCAGGTCTGGCTCTATTCTCAGTAAACATGGATGCTGTGCTTTCCAGGGACTGTTTTGTGGAGTTTTCCATTATAAAGGGAAAACAAGATGTTATGAAATAGATTTAATGTTTGGAATTCTATGTATGCTGAAGCCACACCTTCATAAATAATGTTATAGGTACTTGAATTTTCAGGTACCTTTCAATTCTCCCCACCTGTGCCAAACTTCAGGAAGATACTAATAAGGTGGCTTCAGGCATAAGTGTGAGTAGATGGGAAGGAGCACAGAAGTAGTGGTTCAGGTGACTGCTGCTTCTGCATGTGGCCAAGTCCCAAGACTAGGCTTGTTCACTTTCAAACAAGAATTCATGGCTTCAAGCCTTCTAATAACATTACTTAGCTTTGTCAGCTAGAGAAATCTAAAGAGAAACTGTTCTATTTTTTCCTCTATCACACGTGTCATTATATTCCTTGAAAACGGTCACTAATTTTTCCCATTCTACAAATATTTTGCAGTCTCTTGACCTTGTCAGATACAAATGAAGAGCTGTACTAGATAAAATTGAATAGCTCCTCTCATGGTGACTTGGCTAGTCATGTAATTATTGATCTCTGTTCTTTGCTGCATAAGAAAATGTTGACTTCAGAGATTTTTTTTAAATGGAAAGTATTTTAACACTAAATATCTTTTTAAGGAGTCCTGCTTCATGTGTACTTTCAGAAGCTTTGGCATTGCAGCTTAAAACTCAGCATGTAAAGGATTATTTGTAACCTAAGATACTTAGCAGTGGATAAGCTCAAGCAATTTTACAGATAGAGATAAAATGAAGTTTGTAATGAAAAGAACAATATGCTGTCAGCAGGAGTGTAATATGTGAATGATTCTGTTCATCATTATTCTGTTGCTATGGTCTTTTACAAATGAATTTAAACGTCTTGTACCAACTGCCCATATAAATGATGGTCATTGCTTTTGCTACTGTGAGATCATGCAGACTGACTCTAGGACTGTTTGGAAATGAACTACACTGACTTCATCAACTAGAGAAGATGGAGAGGCAGAGCTACTCTGTTCAGTTACAATCATAAGGTAGCACTTAAATGTGCTAGCTGAAAAGTAAGGTTAAATTTTACACTTTCTGCTTCAGCTTTATATTGCTGTCTCTAGGATGTCTGTAGCATGAACTGCTGGTGTTCCAATTTCTGTGAAAGTACTGTCAGGCTCCTTCACATATTAATCCTTTATAGCTTTGGGGAATGACATGAGGGGTTTTGGAAAGAAGCAGGGCTGTGTTACTTTGTCCAATGACTTGGAGTACCTGGAGTTCAGCTG